GCAAGAAAAGTTCGAAGTCAGAAACCCGCAGCTTCTAAGTCTCTGTGAAACTCTCTTCCCTAAGGACGACGTGTGGAACGGACCTCATTCGCTGTTTAAACATCGAGGAGTTCCAAATCGTAATAGTGCTTTACACAAAGCAGTTGAGGCATTGATGAAGTGGTAAGGTAACATAAGTATTTAGCTATCATTCTTCGTTTTTTCTGTTAGATATGTTTGACACATTCAACACCAATCACCATAAGCATCTTTGTAATTGAAAACAGAGCATAAAACTGTTGGTAATGATTACCACAAGGGAATAAAGCTTCAGTGTACTGTATGATAATATTACATCACAAGTGAGTTATGAATTGTACATAAGTACTTATGAACAATTAAAAAGAAGCTAAAACATGCAAAAGCCAATTCATCAGATGATAAATACAGATAGCAAACAAAAACTAATAATAAGTTGTTCAAGAGAATAACGTATTGTCGTAAATGGAACTTACGGTTAATAATAATCACTTTCTCTCCATTTGCCCGACTGGGTTTGTTTATTTGAAGTCGCACCAAGCTTGGAACGTATGAAGGGCACACAAGTGGGACACAACATTGTTTCGTATAATGTTCAATTCTGTCAGATGACCAGGTACGCGGAGCTCCTCTGATAGTAACAGATTTCAAGTATCCATCTTCTCCAATGATGTGAGCTGCTTGGTAGCGACGACGACGACGACTGTTGTCATTGGTAGGTAACTCTAGATCGAAAACCACAGCAACTTTCTTCTCTTGGTCAATGAAAAAACTCCCAGACAAACACAGACCGTAAAAACTGTCCACCAGTTTTAAAAACTTGATCCACGACACCGCATTTAGATCATCAATCTTATTCGTAACAAAGATCTCGATTGCCTTAGGTGGGTTCCAATAGCGTTGATATAAGACCGCGAGCTGTTCTTCTTTAACACAAGATAGAGACACAAAATCTCCTCCATCACTGAAAGTGTCGCGAAACGGCAGAGGCAGAGGCCGAAAGCTCTCTGTTGTAAAATCAAAACATAGTAAAAGATCTTCAAGTATTTTGGTTACTCCTTTCTTCCTTGCAAGAAAATAAGTGTTTCCCTTCAAAGACGCGCCGTTGATATGAGAAGATATATGGCAGTCGTCCGTAGGGACATCAAGAACCTTCCATGAATTAGAGCTAAAATCGTAGATTTCGTATACTATAACATACTCTCTTCCGCTTAGAGGAAAATCGAAATTCCTCAAGATTTTGTGGGTACGCTTCTTCTTGTCATATCCGAGAGCATACGCGTCTTGCCCGCGTGATTTATCTCTCGGTTGGATCCACTTTGTTTCCCCTAAATAAGGATTCCATACCAAAAGCCTCGAGTTGTCCTCAAGGACGCATAGCAATAACCCTTCACACTGAAAGACCGTAGCTACATCGATTTGATCAAATATACTTACTTGCTTTATAGATGATGGATTAACCAAGCTTTTATGGATTCCTTGGAGATCCAAGTTCATAAAACAAATTTTATGATCCATCATCAAGAATCCCATAAACTGCCTCTTTGCTTTTTTACCAAGAATCCGATTTTTAGATAAAGCGTTCCACTTTTTGCAAGTAGATCGCACTGATCTCGAACAACTCAATGGAACCCTAGACAATATCTCCTCCGCTACCAAATCCTCAGGAAGATCGGAAATCGTCCTCATTATTGATTATTCCAAACGGCTGAATCGGTTTGTTCTTAGTTTCCGGCCAGATCCAAAACGAAGAAGACGACTACTTACTTATTCCCTTTTCTTCCACGTGCTCATTTTTTTTGTTTTGGCCCAATTGAGGCCCATTTTTTCTCACCAATTGTAATTATTTTTTAATTCTTAACCGTTGTTACTATTTATTTATTTGTTTAATTAAGAGCTTATCCAGAATTTTTTTTTAATTTGAGCTTTTAACTCCTTTTTTCAAAAAAACATGTTATTAGCCCACTTATATGTACAATCTCATTTTCAACACATTAACCAACTTTTTTTGGAATAAATAAATCAACTCTCACCTTTTTTTTATTTTTTTCAGCAAAGCAACTCTCACCGTTTTATATGACTATATGTTTTGTTTCTTTCTTTTTTTTTTTTTTTATTTTAAATCTTTTGATTTCTGATTTTTATATTATTTTTTCGATTAATGTAAATTAAAAAAAAAAATTCAACAAAAATTTTTATAATAAATGTGTAACGACATCTTCATCTCTAGATCGGTTTATACACCGACGAATGGCATATATGTGTATGATGAGAATGAAGAAACTCAAGGAATTTAACTGATCTCTCTCTATAAAGACTAGTAGGCCTTCTTGCTCAGTTTCTGTGCAGGATTTTCGATTCCCATTTTCCCTCTATCTCTCTCTCTCTCTTTTTCTCAATCACTTCTGAAAACTGAAACTCTTTTCACAAATTCGTTAGAAAGAGACGAGAGATTCGTCGAAGATTGGGTCCGATTAGGGTTTTGGATTTCGATTCTTAGGTTTATTCGTCAACAATGGAGACCGCGATGGTTAGTTCGGCGAGTAGTGTACACAGATCACTAGTTCAGGTCGACACACACAGACAATTAAAGTCTAAGAGTTTATGCCAAACAAACCAAGTAAAAGGCATCTCACAACCTGTTATTAAACCAACCTTTTCTTGTTTAGGTAAATGGCGGATGTAATCTTCTCAGGACGACCTACTACTTCACCGCGTTTCTGCGGAATCCCGGTGATATGGCAAGCGTAGGCATCCATGTACGCGAGGAGATGAGGCTCGTTTTCCGCTAGGAAAACATAACTACAAAAAGTATGAAATTAGCAAGCGATTTCAATACAAAAAAGTTCAAAGAATAGATTAGATCAAACGTACCTTTTTGGATTGCGACGTAAGACAGATTTTATCACTTTCGCAGCCTGCGCTTTTTACCTAAGATTCAAGAAGCTGAACGGTTCGTCAAATACAAGTTAGAAAATGCAAATTACTTGAACCAGCTTGAACTTTGGATTCCTCTGTTTAGTGTGACATTACTGATGACCTTTATGATAGAGTGATGAGAGATAGAGATTGGAAGAATATATTATTGCTCTCATAAGGATTGAATTACATATACAAGCATATATATAGAAATATCATTTAACCTACTTTCCTAACTAATGAGATCATATAGAATATTTACAAATCAATAATATGATTATGGAAGATTTACATATCTTCTAGATATACTCTTATATGCCCCCTCAATCTCAAGGGGATAATGGAGAAATAGCAGAATTAACGGCTTGAGATTGATTTGGATTATTAAGTCATGGCTTAAGCTTAGAAACGTCGCACATGCATGTGGGCTCTTGAAATTTTGTTGGGAGATGTTGCGTTGAACCATTATGATGAGTTCGGGCCAGTGTTTTGGTGGAAGCGGCGAGTGACAGTGATAGATCTGGTGACGGTGTAGATTAAAGCGGTGCGGTGGACGTCACAAAAGGTGATGAACATTGTCGAAGAAGAAACAGCCGATGGTGTTTTTTTTTTTTTTTATTTAAAATAAATTAAGGAAGCACTAAGCTTGATTTTGGATGCACAATTGGCATAGAAAGCAAATATAAAATCGTAGAAAAACCGTTTCGAAAAATAGATTTAGAAGCTTATAGCTTTAGATTCAGAGGCATATGATATGCTTGAATTGTAGAAGGCTTAGATTCAGAGGTCTATGCTAGACTTGAATTATGGAAGCACTTTGGCTTAGATTCAGAGGTTCATGACTTGAACTTGAATTATGAAAACACTTGCTTAAAAACAAAAACGAAAAGAAGAATCACTTGGCTTAGCATAAAATAAAATAAAAAAGAAAGTTTGATCGCTAGATCAAAACTTTGGAGCAAACCTGCTCTGATACCATGGTAGAGTGATGAGAGATAGAGATTGGAAGAATATATTATTGCTCTCATAAGGATTGAATTACATATACAGTAAAACCTCTATAAATTAATAATGTTGGGACCATGAAATTTTATTAATTTAGAGAGGTATTAATTTATCGATAAATTAATAATTATTAATTTATAGAGAGATTTTACTAATTTTATAATTTTTTAAAAAATTTCTATCTAAAAATAAATTTTTTCTTTATAATTAAGCAATATGTTTTTAAAAACAATTGCAAGTAGAGAAGCAATTATTAAGTTTAAAAAACAACACAAACTTTTTTCGAATAATAGAGTCATATTTCATTAAAAATTTTACATATAATATTTTAAATATATATCATAGTAATTCATATATATATATTAAGTTAAATATACATATATATATATATATATATATATATTGATAAGTTTATACAATTATTAATTTATAATATAGATGGGACCATATGTTTACATGGGATTTTCAAAAAAATTATTATCTTATTAATTTATCGATTTATGTCATATTTTACACTGGTCCCAACTCTGGACCGGAAGAATTTATTAATTTAGAGAGGTTATTAATTTATAGTGTATTAATTTATAGAGGTTTTACTGTACAAGCATATATATAGAAATATCATTTAACCTACTTTCCTAACTAATGAGATCATATAGAATATTTACAAATCAATAATATGATTATGGAAGATTTACATATCTTCTAGATATACTCTTATACTTTATAGCTTGCACTGATAATTTGGTTCGTAGAGTGTTCTTTAAATTCTTATCTTGTCGGTTTCTTGTAATGAAGATCTTTGCTTGATAATTGTAAAATCTGTCTAGGAAGCTCGATTCTTACCATGGCGATGAGCTATTTCATCCTTAAATCTATTATTTTATTTGGAATATCTGGTTTGATGTGTTCTATTAGCTAGGGAACATAACATAGCTTCAATATCTTGTGGGGACTATCAATGCTTCCTCTCTCGTGGGTTCTTATTATTTTGCTGGAGTAATGAAATATAAATAGAAATACTATAAAGATTTTCTCTTTTTCTACATTCACCTTTTCTTAGCATCTATAGTTGTGTCTCCCTGAAGCATAATGTGTGAAAACAAATCGCAGGCACTGATTTTTGGTGGTGAAGATGGTTTGCCTGCAATTTCAGCGCATCACCAGATCCCAGGCCTTGATGTTGTTGTTGATCCATGTGCTGCTATTCTAGTGTTCATTGTAACTGGCCTTTTGTGCATGGGAATAAAGGAGGTACGAGCTTTATATGAATTTGATCCCGACATCAGGAAAATTCTTAACTCCGTTCTAATTGTATTCTTATATATGGAAATCTCTTCTATGCAGAGCACATTTGCTCAGGGAATTGGAACTGCAGTCAATGTGTGTGTCTTGTTATTTGTCATAGTAGGGGGCAGTTATCTGTGCTTCAAGACAGGTTGGCCTGGCTATGAACTCCCGACAGGGTAAGATGAGTATTTACTATGACTTGAGCCATCATTGTTTAAGATAGGTTAAAACGTAATCATTTGTCATTTTAGGTTCTTTCCATTCGTAGTGGATGGAATGTTTGCTGGTTCTGCTACAGTCTTTTTTGCATTCATTGGGTTTGATTCGGTTGCAAGTACTGCAGAGGAGGTAAACTTTGGAATCCATGCTCTTCTTGCAAGTATCTGGTCTTTAGAGGCTTTCTATTTTAGTTTGCTTTTAAGCATCCTTTCAAGTACTTGGAGGTACTGATAATGCTATTCACATCTATGGGCAGGTGAAACATCCCCAACGGGATTTACCTATTGGTATTGGTCTTGCTCTCTTGCTCTGCTGTTCTCTCTACATGATGGTCTCCATTGTAATTGTTGGTTTAATTCCTTACTATGCGATGGATCCTGACACCCCGATATCCTCTGCATTCGCTAGTCATGACATGCAATGGGCCGTGTAAGTATATGATCGTTTAATATCCTTCTGGTTCATCGTTTTTTAAATGATTATGAGATTGATCGTTTTCGTTTGGGAATTTGATGTAGCTACTTAATAACTTTAGGAGCTGTCATGGCTCTCTGCTCAGCTTTACAATTTAATAACTTTAATGGTTGCCCTTCTCCTTCAGGTAAAGTAGAAACAACACAAATCAAGAGTCAATGTTGGATGCGGTACATAGGACGAAAAATTTAGATCTAGAGTTGATGATTTACAATTTAATGTCAGAAAAAAATTAGGTTTCTTTCACTGGTGTGTGCTTGTTACTTAATACGACTTTTTTCAATTTCCAGCCACGAATTCTGATGGCAATGGCTAGGGATGGTCTGCTGCCTTCTATTTTTTCAGATGTTAATAAACGCACCCAGGTTCCGGTTAAAGCGACTGTGGCAACTGGGTTGTGTGCGGCAACTTTAGCGTTCTTTATGGATGTTTCACAGCTTGCAGGGATGGTAAGACTGTATGTTTTCTTTTTATTTTGTGGTCTGTGTTTTCGCCATATGGCCTGTTATTAAATATTTTAGGACCGCTGATGGTGCAGGTGAGTGTTGGGACACTTCTGGCATTTACAATGGTGGCAATATCAGTGTTGATACTCAGATATGTTCCTCCAGATGAGCAACCTCTTCCGTCATCTCTTCAAGAGAGAATTGATTCTGTTTCCTTTATATCTGGTGAAACAACGTCCTCTGGTCATGTTGGCACTTCTGATAGCAGTCAGCAGCCTTTAATTGACAAAGATGATGTTTCAGTCGATTTCCCGGTTATCAAGAATCAAGAAGCTCAGCTATTTTAATTGAGAAACTACATGTTTTAGCAAAAACTTCACATTTGTCAATGATTTTGCAGGGGTTCTCAGCGAAGAAAACAGAAGGATAGTAGCTGGATGGAGCATTATGTTCACCTGTATTGGAGCCTTCCTTTTAAGTTATGCGGCATCAACCCTGAGCTTCCCAGGGTTAGTTAGTTGATCATTGTCTATTTTAAGCTTTGCCTTTTCCCTCAAAACTTTTACTGTTTATCAGCTTACCTCTACTTCTTTTTAATGTTTCATATGGTTAATAGGCTACTTAGATATTCGTTGTGTGGTGTTGGTGGAATTCTCCTCCTTGTTGGTTTGATTGCTCTGAGTTCTATAGATCAGGATGATGCCAGACACACTTTTGGACATTCTGGAGGTAATTAATGCTATACGATTAATCTGTGTTTTAAAAAGCGCGCCTAGGCCTCGCCTAGGCTCAAGGCGCAGTGAGGCTAAGGGGTCAGCGCCTCAAACTGGTGAGGCTAGGCGATCTCCTCTAGGCTCTCGCTCCGGGACGCCTGGGCTCAAGGCGCGCCTCAACTCGCTTTGCGCCTCAGACAGAAAAAGGTAATAATGCAAAATCATTGATATTCTCTTGCTTTTTATGTTTCCAAAAATATGGCATGTAAATTAAATGAGAAAAAACCTAAAAACTTTTGATAAACTCACGTCTCCAGCCTTTGTCTTTTCATATTCTCCCAGCCTTTGTCTTTCATCTTCTCCACGCTCTTGTCTCTTCTCTATAATGAAATTGAAGAGGATTTCGAAGGAGGAGATTTAATCCGCGGTGTACCGCGGGGCTATATATATTGTTTAATATTAATATTGATCTAAACCCGTTGCACCATATAACCCCGTCCCGTAAAATTAAACATCATTTGTTATTTTTTTTGAATAATATTTTTATCCACTACGAATCGCAGGTTCATGCGGGTAAGCCCGTAGAGAGTTGCGGGTTTGCGGGTCGACCCGCCAAAAGAGAAGCTATCTTTTGAAACCCTTTGTTTTGTTTAGAGGTTTTAAGAAAATATCCCTAAAAAATAAATTTCATTATATGAAAAAAAAAGTAGAAGAAATTGTAGTATCAACATTCCCGATTTTTACATCACTCGTTACAATTAATTTTTTTTTTTGCAGATAAAAATCAGAAGTTAACTAAGTCGAGATTTTTAAAAAGATTGTGTAGAGATTTTTGGTAAATTGTTGAGAACATATTTGATTTCAAAATCTTTACTTAAATAGATAAGGAAAGATTTTGTAGAGACTTTTGCTAAATATATGAGAAATGAATTTCATTTAAAAATCTTTACTTAAATAAAACAAATCTAAATAATTAATGCTAATGGCATGTCATTGTAAAAACTTCTCAACTTCAGGATTTATTTGCTAATTGTGATCCAAAAATGTATATATACCAAAATTATATATACCAAAAATCTATATATACATTTTTGGATCACAATTAGCAAATAAATCCTGAAGTTGAGAAGTTTTTACAATGACATGCCATTAGCATTAATTATTTAGATTTGTTTTATTTAAGTAAAGATTTTTAAATGAAATTCATTTCTCATATATTTAGCAAAAGTCTCTACAAAATCTTTCCTTAAGTAAAGATTTTGAAATCAAATATGTTTTCAACAATTTACCAAAAATCTCTACACAATCTTTTTAAAAATCTCGACTTAGTTAACTTCTGATTTTTATCTGCAAAAATAAAAAATAAAATAATAGTAACGAGTGATGTAAAAATCGGGAATGTTGATACTACAATTTCTTCTACTTCTTTTTTTTCATATAATGAAAATTATTTTTTAGGGATATTTTCTCAAAACCTCTAAATAAAACAATATACTTTGGATGAAATCTTAGAATTAAAAATCAAAAATTAATTATAAAATCAGAAACACTAAACAAAATAAACAATATTAACAAAACAAATACAACTTAAAATTTTGCTAAATAATTTTTTAGTTATAAAAAAATCGACCCGCGGTTCAAATCGGATTAATTTGGTTCCGTAAAACAAATTTCTTAGGCCTTATATGTCAAAATTTGTTGACATTCTTTTTGAATAGGTTTCATGTGCCCGTTTATTCCCCTCCTGCCTATCATATGCATTCTCATCAACATGTACCTTTTGGTTAACCTTGGGTTAGTATCTCTTCACTCACATGCGCCTTCACAAGCTATCAATGTGTCTTCCTCCGAACTACAGCAACTAAACTACTAAAGCTTAACAAAACTTCAAAACCACAGAAATTTGTATAATGGAATCTAAATTCAGGACGTTATTGAACCATTTAGGTTTAAAATTCTTAAAGTTTGTATAGTTTAGATAGGAGAAGAGAGCAAAAGTTTATTTGGATTTGTGTCCTTTTGGTGATAGTTGGTGTTTGTATCAACCGTTTCCTCTAAGCTATTGAACTGCTAACATGACAGATCTGCGACATGGGCTCGTGTATCGGTATGGCTGCTGATTGGAGTGATTGTGTATGTTTTATATGGCCGAAAACACAGCTCGCTCGCCAATGCAGTTTATGTACCTACAGCTCATGCGGAGGAGATATATCGCGAACATGAAGGTTCTTTGGCATAGTCTGAGAAAGCATCTCTTTGATTATATATGTAACACAATCTGTATGATCTTTATCTGGAATGCCATAATCTATTTGTGAGCCAAAAGACCTGTCCATGGATTTTGTAAATAATATATATCATCATAAGTTCATAATGCGAGAGTCAGATACTTTTCAAGAATCAATCAATATCTTAAAATATATAAAAATAACGATTTATTTTTGGAGGTCTTTGGTAGCTCGAACATGAGAAAATTGTTGACCTCTCCTGGTTGAATCGACCTCTAAGGAACAAACGAATATGTGCTTAGTCAACAAACAAACAAAAAAAATTACATGGAACTCTGGTGTGATGGACCTAAAGGACGTTTTCTGAGGCACTCTATACCCAGTTAGGTTAGAGAAATTTGTTGGTGTCAGATCTTGCACAATCTGGTCCATTTTGTTCCTAAGCTCGTTATCTTACGTACTAAACCCAAAAATATTTACATGCTTGGTTTGTGAATGAGTCAAATGGTCAATGGTCAATGATCAAAAAGTCAAATAGTTAAGTCTTAGCATTAGTTTTACGATTTAATTTACAGATTAATAGCAATGAATTACACATTAAGAGATGAAATAGGCTATAAAAATGGAGAGGACGACCACTATATAGGGGATCTCTCGGCTGAGCACAAAAGATCTAGAGCAATTTTTTCCCTTTTTTTTCACAAAAACAATGTTATTCCAAATAACTGTTAGCTATTCTCTTTCGTAATCATATACTATATGTTAATGAAATATTAAAGGTTATGGTTTTATCTTTTAATTCATGACTATTTGCTTACATGTTTTGGTGCTTTATTCATGACTAAATATGTTATTTGCTAGGAAATGAGATGAATGAACAAGTATTAAGGATAGTTTAGAGATTTTTAAGAGAAAGTCTCAAAAAACAAAACTTTGAAACCCACTTTAATGTGTAAAGTAGAAGAGTATAGTTATATAATTTACATACCTGACTCGGGTTTGTTATTTGTATACCTGGTCGTGAGATTTCAATTAAGGTCGAATATTGTATCACGCTAAATTAGTAGGATCTTTGATAGAATCAGATAATTGATTCGATAAACCACATCCGAGTATCTGGTACGTGGTCCATCTTTCTACTTGGTTAGGTTGGTGATGGTTGAGATACCGCTTGGATCTTTCGTGTGGGCCATTGGTGAGATCTTGGAAGGAGCTACGTACTGAGGTTATATTTTGATGATATTTTTGTTTCTTTTTAACAGTAATATTTCCATGTATCCTTCTATGATTTAGGTACTGATTCATAACATAGAAAATTTATCCATGCAATGCTTGATTGCTCAAATATAAAATTTTTAACTAAGTAATCGACCAACCCATTTTTATTTTCTTTTTTACATTATTTAGGTCAACAAGATCATACTCATAGTTAAATTCCTACTATATCGGATAACTCAATATGTTGGAGTTGAATTCCGGTAAAAAAAAACTTTAGGAAATAAATCGTTAACCACTTGACTAAAAATACTTCCCTCGACAGACTAATTATAAAAAACTAATAAAATTTATTACTATGCGCCTAATCATCTGATTAATATTCACGTCACAATCTATCTTGTATACCACATTTCTCTAATCAATTGATGAACCAAAGCTTTCTTTATGATCAAGTTATTTTCATTGATTGACCCAAATCCATTATTTTTCTTGACCCAAATCACCATTTTTCTTTGTCGTTACACAATATCTCTCTGCTTCTACTTATTTCTATAACAATCATCTTCTTTTTCTTACCAAAATCATATCTGAGATTCGTTTTCTATGAATCTTTGGCCGTAAAGCAGTTTTTCTAAGTGTGTATTTAAATGAAGCTACTACTTAAACGAAAGAGTTCTTCAAAGAAAAAACCTTTGAAGAGGATTTCACTTTACCTGTTTATTTCTTAATCATTTGGACCTATCATATTACTAGCCTACTAAAATTTCCAAAATTTAACAATCGATACATCTACACTGTACGGATATTGTATGTTTCAAAGGTTCCATAAATGAAAGCAGTAAACTTAAAAAGATGAGAAAGTATTAACTCACTGAAATAATATGTAGAAGAAGATGATAAAAGTATAGTTCTCTGAGTTTTGCGATTACATTCAGAAATAAAATAAAATAAAAACGTTTTGCAATTATATACATGTATGAGAGAAAACTCTAAAATTGTTATCACCTGATGAATACCACGTAACAAGAGATTGAAAAGCTTCAAAATGTTCAGATTTCAAACTCCATAGATTTTAAACTCCACCCCCATACAAGTTTCCGTCTCTGCAATTTTATTGTTTTCATCTGAAGAAGGTGACCGTTGTTCATTAAAAGTATTGTGTTGTTTTGCTATTTTGATCCAATATCAATGGTTTAGTCGTTTTGGGTTTCAAGAACTTTATACCTATAATTGTCGTTTTTCCATATTTTAACTCTTCTTAGATTTATTATACGTTACATTTATTTCTTTTATTTTATAGTAGTCGTTTCTTCTGATTTGTTTGTTTTCTGATTTTAACAAATTAACTTAAATAATTGCCTTCTATATATTAGCAAACTAATAAACATAATATTATGAATTTAGTAATTTGCAATTAACTTTTACTTTCAAAAATATTTTAAAATATACTTTAATAAAATATACTAATAGAAATTGTTGGGCTTTCCAACCCCAACTCCGACTCCTCCATTAGTATGATATGCCCGTTTTGGGCCAAATAACCTACCCACGAATTTGTTTTTGGGCTTCTTCCCAAAATATCTCAAACTAATTGGAGTTAGACCTTGACTTATATATTAGACAATTATTTTCTAATCTTCCAATGTACGACGTTGGTTTGTTTTCCGATAGGAATGTCAAACGAACTCTAATCTTAGACTAAGCTCAATCCAAATTGTTATGTGTTTAATGGATCTTTTCTTCTAAGGCAGATCTCATGCAAAATGAGGAATGACGTCAAGACCGGGAAAACACAATGGTTTTAGGATCCCATTTAACTTGTACCTGATTGAATTTGGAAATGTTGTGCTAGTGTCAGAGCAGCGGCATCATTTATGAAATATTTATTTCGTTTACGAATTTTCTATTGGTTGCAGCTAGATTTTATGGAAAATAAGTGTGATTTGTTTAATCCCTTTGTTGATAGTGTACTGTAGAGTATCTCCATTTTGAACTAAAATGTATGCATGTTAGTTCGTGATCTAGACATCCATTAAGAAGAAACATGTTAAAGTCTCTATCTGGATACATGTCAACAATGATCTCACTGTTTCACATTCTGACATGGATTTTCCTAAATCAAAAGTTAATTCTAACCGTATAATAACGAGGGATTTTCAATATAATCCCGAAAGTCAAGGAAACAAGTTTTTTGTTTTTTTTTTTTTTTTTTCAAGTCAAGGAAACAAGTTTGAGAGACCAAATCTTTATAATGAAACTTGGATAATTATAAATTTAATTTTAAAAATGGAGAATTATTGAAATCCAGCTTGCTTTTGGTGGGGAAGACATCTTAGTTGTCTGAAGCCTATCCATGTAACGGTGTACGACGTGAACAATTATGAAGCCGTAGAGAATTCGAACTTGACCGTTGACTCGATCTCAATTACAACTTGTTCCGTTAAGGAAGGAAAGAGACGTTTAAGGAACTTTGTTTGAAAGTCTATATTGTGCGAATTTACAGTCACTTACAAGTTAACTACAACCAATTTTTCCTTTTTGCTGCTTGGTTAACTTTTGCTGCTTCAGTTGCCTTCCCTTTATCTCTCTGTTTAAGCCAACTTGGGTTCGAGAAACTATTGGTGAAGACAAAGAGATATGGTAATAAGAAAGTGTTTAGAATGGTCTTGGAGCTACAAATTTGTGTCTCTTTTGTTGCCTCGGTTGTTTGTCTTGTGGGTTTGTTTGCGAGTGGCGAGTATGAGGAACTGAAAGGCGATAGCAAGAGGTTTAAGAAAGGGGAAACATATTACGTTCTTAGTTTGGTTGGGTTGGCTTTGTCGTGGCAGGTTTGGTCGGTCGGGCTGATAGGGTTGGTGCTCTATGTTTCCGGTGTGTTTGGTGATGTTGTTCATATGTGTACTTCACCACTTGTGGCTTTGTTTGTTGTCTTGGCGTTTGATTTTATGGATGATGAGTTTAGTTGGCCAAGGATTGGTACTTTGATAGCAACAGTTTTGGCTTTAGGATCTTACTTCTATACGCTGCACAAGAGAAACAAGAAGAAGATGGTGGAACTTTACCAAAGAGAGAACTATATTGAAGTTTAGTCTATTATTATGTCAAATGTATGTTGTGTCTCAGAATCTGTTCTTCTTGTAAATGTCCAGAATATGTTGTATAGATCTGAAAACTGTATAATTTATTTGTTAATCTGTTCTTTTTTTTTTTTAGGAATTCTATTTTACAGTACTTTGTTAATGAGGGTTCGTTAGCAATAGCATCTAAGAGTCTTCATGCTAAACCAAACTCTTATGCCTTTTACCTCATATCTTTCTAATATAGATTGCACTGTTTGCTTCTGTCCCAAGCAACTCAAAGTCTATGAACCCTTTAGAAGCTTGGTCAACATTTTCTTACTATGTCTTCCTGGAACCAATATTGTGATGGCAAATTTAAAACTCTGTTAGCTGATTACATACACTGCTTGCATGTAAACAGTTTCTCTCGAGCCAGGTGAAGTCCAAATACATACTAATATCATTTTTTTGCTAAAGGGTTTACAAATGCTAATATCATCAGTACATACTTATACAAAATTTACGAATTTTAAGATCACATTATGCAGGCATTCAACCGTCGATGACCCTCTACCATTGGGACCATCCTTAAGCACTCGAGGATGAGTATGGTGGGTTTTTAAGCTCTCAAATAGTGTAGTTTAAGCAAACTAAGCAAAATTATTCTAAGACATTAACAATTGAATATTTTTATTGTTATTATACCATTAAGATAGACATAATGCAAATCAATATTAACTATTACTTTTAATTCTTTAAACAGAAAAGATTTCCGATATTTTTCAAATGTGTGTTTTGAAGAATTTGGAAACAAATTAAATAAAGACGTAGTGTTAATAGAATCGAGAGTTTGTTACAGAGGATTAGAAACAAACTCATCTTATTTCCATATAGACATAATGCAAATCGCGGGTCATATCCTAGTTCATCTTATAATGAGAACGATTACAATTAGTTTCCTTATATATGTATAAGACTCCGGTTTACATTTCAATTAAACCGAGATGTGAATACATTGGTTTGACTTAACCAATGATCACTCTAATACGTAGACTACTAAAAACGAGCCTTTTTGCACCAAAAAAAAAAAAGATTTTGTTTTCATTGCTCTCTCTGTTTTTATGGCACAAATTGCTAACACTGAAAGAGATTAGGTGTCTCAACTTTTCCCAAGGTATCATTTTTCTGAAGAAAGCAGAAACGACTTTAAATACCAACAACTGCAATAGGTAAATGATTTGGATAAACCATCATTCCTTTCAAAATCTAAACTCATACAGTATAGAAATCGGTCTTGTTTGATACAAAAACGTCATAACAAAGAACAAAGCAAGTGCAAAAATTCTGAGCAGAGAACGATAAAACTGGAAACAACTCAATAGCCACCCTTGAGATCGTTGACAACATCGTAAGGAATGGGAGTAACAGTTTCCAATGTCATACCTTCAACCATGAAACCCGGTTTAGGACCTTTAGGCTGTCTCTTGGTGCTAATAGTCTCTCCTCTGGCTTTAGCAGCAGCCTTAAGCACATCGTTCTGCTTCTTCCTGAGTTTAAACTCCTCAGCACACCTTGACTGTTGCACATGCTCCACACGCACATGTATCCTCTTCCTTATGATTCTGTTCCCAATCTAAAACCCAACCCAAAACCTATAATTAGGTCTCCAAGAGATTACACTAATCATAAACACAATACATTCAAAGAGACAGCTTCCACAACAACAAAGTCAATATCAAAACATCACCAACAAAAAGGACCCAAGAAGAAAAGCTTGAATCTTTCGAAGCAATACCAATCCTAAATCTCAGAATTCAAAACAGATAGCTCACACAAAGACGAATTAAACCCTAAAGCAAAGAATCAAAATCACGTTCAAACCCTAATTTCAACAATCAAAGCTCTTCCAAACAGATAAAGAATTGAATAATCAGACCTGTTTGTTGACTTCAACACCAACGGCACGCTTAGTGACATTCCAGATACGACCAGTACGACCATGGTAGAACTTGTGAGGCATACCCTTGTGAATAGCTCCATTAACCTTGACATCTACGTAATCTCCGACCTTGAAGGTCCTGAGGTAAGTGGAGAGTGGAATATAACCCTTCTTCCTGAATGGTCTCGCGAACAGATCTCTTGTTCTCGCTCTCACTCCGTGTCCCGCCGGCATTTTTCCTCTTCTCTCTCACTTCGGTCTCTGGTGAAACCCTAAAAATGGGAGAGTGATGAAACTAGTTTAAAAGGCTTTTTGTTTATATGGGCCTATTGGGCCTTAAATACTTTTAGGCTTATTTTGTGCAATATGGTGGTGAGACTCTATGGCTTCTATTGCTAATGGTTTGTTTATGGTTAGTTGAATAATAATAATGAGATGAATAAATAATTTTCCATCGTTCATCTCATATTTTGAGGATGAACAATTTTGAGTTGAAACAAGTCATTTTTCATATATTATGTGGGGTTAAAAAAATTTGGGTTGAAAATAAATTTATTGTAAATGATACATTTTTGGATGAATGGAGTTGATATCTAGATTCAATTCTTCTAACTTGCTTAAATATGTTAACCATTTGCATATTATATATATTATTGACATAAAACCACAATTTGTTTGGTGTAGGTTAATTACTAGAGGCTTTGTTTAAAATCTGGTTTGTAAGCATGGGAAAATAAACCAAATTGCACCCAAATAAAATCCTTAATTATTTAGAGTTTTAACAATACATTTTTCATGGCATAAATCTTAGAGTTAAAATGTAAGCATGTTCCTCTATATCATTATCATGCAAATTATTGTTGTATTCATGCATCACCACTTCGAAACAATAAATAAATAAAATCGTTTTTCTATCAGTGTGATTCTTTCATGCTTATTAAAAAAAGTATTCAAAGTCTCTCGAAATCAGTGTCCGACTTTTTTTTATAAAAAAATGGTTAAATTTGAAAAGTATCAAAATCTCTCAAAATCAGTGTTTGATCTTCATCTTCAATGCCTTTGCTTTGTCCTGTTGCTCCTCTAACGGCTTGTGAAGTAGTACCAGATTTGCATACGACAACATAAACCCAAGATTGCTCAAGCCTAGATACACCCAATAGCATTCATTGATTGTCTCTAAATCTAATATACCTGTTTGAGTCAAGTCCTCCAAGTGGACTAGAAAAAGATGATAAATAACCCTCCAACTGCCATGGCAAATTTTAATAATTATTCTCGCTTTTTTTCAAGAGCATCCAGAGGATCCTAATAATAGCGTATAATTATCAGAATAATATGAAAATGCAATATTAACTATATAAAAAATGGAAAATTTGTTAGTGATAACAATTGTTAAACTGTCAATCGAAGTCTGGAGTTTAGCAATCGCCTAAGCTAGTTTAGATACACATTTTTTTTTGTATCTCTTCTTTAGCAATCTTGAGTTTGTGCAAATTTGGCACTAACTTCACAAGCATTTTTTTTTTTGTATCTCTTGCTCTATGTGATCAGCCCAAAGAATTCCCAGTCTTCGAAGAGTAGCACTGGTGACTGAACAAAACTCCCATCTTTCCCAATGAAGATCCTTTAACACGAGTGTATCAATCACTCGACAACTTGATATGAAGTTTGTAAACACAGTAGCTGAATTCTCTCCAAATCCAATGACTTCTAAACTGAGGGTCGTCAGATTTACTAGGTTAATGATCTCCAAGGTTTGGTTGGTGCTCGATAACTTGAGAGTAGAGATCGTGTCTTGAACAAAGACTCTCGGAGGGAATTGGTAATCTACCTCGGGAATTTGACCGTAGTCTTTTTTATTTAATTAGACTTCACAAATAGAGTAATAAGGCCATGAATGTTTTGTAGGAATTGAGAATCTATTTTGAACTTTTAGGTAGGGTTGTCACTTGTCAGGATTAATGTAATAATAATTACACGAAATATTGAATTTACATGGGGACATATACGAACTAACATAAGTTATGTGACCAACATCATAACCATCATTTATTGTTTCTCGATTTGACTCGATATTTTTCTCTTTTCCAATGTTAGTAACGAATTAAACTCAAAAGACAAACTACTAGAAATAAAAAATATAAAAGCTAATGAATCTGATTGATTGTCATATGAATTTTTTGTCATTCAATTAGACATAAAAACATATAAAATAGTGATTTGGTAGAAAACCACATGTATGATGAATGACAAAACGTTCACGAGAAATATCGAGTCAAATCGAGAGACGGTAAATGATGGTTATGATATTGGTCACATAACTCATGTTAGTTCGTACATGACACCATGCAAACGCAATACTTCGTGTAGGTATTGATATATAAATTTAGTTTAGATATCTGTCCATTTGCTGGACTATACTCTGTGTAGCTGACGATCGTTCTTCTTTTATTTGACGTTTCACAAAATTTTTGGAAAATTGTGTTATGGCTTGAGTCTTGCAAATGTAAGTATGTTCCTCTATATCATTATCTAGCAAAGTATTGTTGTATACATCAATGTCCACTTCGACACGGCAAAGGATGGGCAAGCACCTTAATACAAAGTCATTGTTTCTCTTTCCAGTGATTTCTGTTTACAAAGACGGATATCCAAAGAAGAGTCTTACGAGTGCAATGCCATGAAGTGGTTCTGTTTACGGGCATTTTCTGGGACAAGCCGGTCCATGGTTTCAGGAGGGATGCCAGAGAGTTCTGAAGGACACAAAAATTATCCCAGATTCATATGAAGAATGAAAGGCGAGTAGTACAAGACACAAGCAATTTTCTTCTTAACCCTATGAAGCACACATTATAAGGCATGCTAAAGCAAATCCCAAATTGTTTCTTATACTTTAAAGTTTAAACCCCAACTTCGAGTTACTAAGTATGCTCATCACTGAGAGGGCTTTAAATACGGAATCGTACCTTGCGGTTTAAAATTAAAAAGTGGAGGAAGTGGCCGACCATTTGGCAGACGAGCGTTTGGGTCTCTTAGCTCATCAAAGAAAGGGTGGATACAAGCTTCCACCTATGAGAACAGCATGAGACATAGTTATAATGTGTTTAAAGCTTCCGATGCAGATTTCAAACAAAATTGAAGGTGTAATATGTAACAAAGTTAGATAAAACCATGAATAACTTACCGCTGTGCATCTCAAATTAGGAGAATACTGGAAGAACCTACAAAGAAGATCTACTGCTTCAGGTGGCAAGCGTTTTTGGAATACCTGATAAGCACAAACACATGATTCTTGTGCTGTAAAGAAGAGGACCAGAGAGAAGTAGCACCAAGGAAATGATCACTAAAGAGCACAACAAAGAAGAAAGAGAAAAATACAGAGCTATTTCAATCCCACAGTAAAGCTGACACATTGCTTTGTAAGCCAGATGAGTGACACATGAAGTTAATTCATCACATATACTACAATTAACTTTCACTAAACCGAGACAACGCTTGAACAAATACGTACAACTAGAATCCAATTGCTAAAAGCATACCGTATTAGGAGATAATGGATACTAATAGTTGCATACCTTGTGCCAAGGGTGAGGTTTTATTTGGGGAAATTTAAATTCTGTGTAGTTTGGATTCATGCACTTGATCTCCTCCCTTGTTGGTGTACCCAAAACCTGCATGAAAATCAAAAGGCCAGAAAGAAAGAATATAAGAGTTTGTGGTACATTCTCCACTCAAAGTTTATTGCTCTCTGATGATTCATTCAGAGATGAAAGTAAAGGCAGCTGTAGTCTGATATGAATAGACCGACAAAGACCTTTTAATATAAAACTTTTAAACAACTATAAGTCAATGCCAAGCCCAACACATGAGATTTTCTTGTTGTTAAAACTATCCCTAAAAGAATTGATAATTGCTACCTTAATGATTTCAACAAGTTGATCGACTCCACTTTCGCCAGGAAACAGAGGCTGTATAACAAGTTCGCGAGAGCACAAACGACTAAGAGGGTGAAGAAATAGAATAACAAGCATATAGCTAATGCAAACATAGCGCTTCAACCTGTCCAAGAAGCAGTTCAGCCATCACACAACCTGTGGACCATATATCTATCGCAGTTGTGTATTCGGTGGCTCCAAAAATGAGCTCTGGGGCACGATAGTATCTTGAACAAATGTAAGAAATATTGGGTTCTCCTTTCACCTGTGGAGGACGACACTTCATAATCCAAGCATAGATCAGGAAAACTAAACCACTAAGAGCTATAGCTGATAAACTTTACCAACACTTTTGCGCTCCCAAAATCACAAATTTTTAGCTGATGTGTGTGTGGATTCACCTGCACAACACAATAGATCTAAAGCCAAATATAAGTTTGTTTAATTAAAATAGAGCACATTTTTTTTAGACAAACTCTAATCAATTGCAGGTACGGTGAGCCTAGACAATTAAAACATATTGAAGAAGTTCATTCTTTTTAAAATCACAAAAAATTTGAACCAACGAACTGACCAGCTCAAAACCAAAAGTATTTCCCAGATGTTAGATTTTGGCATCTTGGTTAAAACTAATATCATTTCCAGTGAAATTAACTAGAGAACAGAAGCCCAGTACCACTTTGAGGATTAAAAATAAACATCAGTGAGATGTATACATAGCCTCACTGCTTAAACCCTCCGGGCATGTTATAACGAAATAATTATCAAGTAAGCATTCAACCTACTATAAAATTATCGAATTTGTAGAAGTTAAGAACAGTGTCCTATATTTATGTATACTAGTAGTGCCATTAAAATCAGTACGTCTATAAAAAGAAATCAAACAAAAGTAGCTTACAGAAAATAAGTGAACACTGTCATCAACTTCTTTTCAGTGAGAAACAAAGGGAACTTACTAGCAGGTTTTGGGGCTTAATATCACGGTGACACATACCACAGCAATTATGAAGGTAAGCAAGTCCCCTGCAAATCTGTACCCATCAACATAAAATCCTCAAGAAATCATCGGAGAATATCCAATCAATTATCAGGTTCGATAGAGTTCAATAGAATTTTAAGTGCTACTTCCTTCGCGTAGAGACAATCAATTATGTTCAACACTCAACAGTTCCAACCTCTAACGGAAAAGCACAATAGTAACAGAGGCAATAGGAACTTTGCGTTCCAGTTTAAAATCTATCTAGCAAACAAGAGGTAATCTCCAACCTATCAACTCTGGAATGAACCACAAGAAACCAGCTGCCACATATCATTAAAGAAACAGAATGTATTTTAAAAGTTGAGTGAGTACTTATGATGCACCTGATAAGTGTAGAGTTTGACATACATCAATGGCATCAGCTGGTTCATTCTACTGTAACTTCTTGCAGTACGATTGACAGTCTCAGGAACAAATTCAAGGACAAGATTTAGATAAACCTCTTCATTTTCTGTTCTTGAATAGAAGCTATGCTTTAAACAAACGACATTCGGATGGTCTAGCATCTGCATAATCTGTAATTCCCTGTTCTTGTAGCGCTTGTCTTGTAGAACCTTTTTGATGGCAACAACCTCCCCAGTTTCTCTGCATTTAGCCTACCACAAGGAAACATTAAATGTGTGGGAATCTTAACCAATAATAAAACAACAAGAAAGATAATCTAACTTACTTGAAAAACCATTCCGAAGGAGCCAGTTCCAACAACGTGTTCTGCTATGTAACTGACTGTCTGTCAATCAAATATATACATATGTACAAGAATCAGTTAGATAGCCACGTCTCACTAACATTCTAGACACAAAGTTTTTCTAAGCATCTAACCTGTCTTGATTGACCATTTCGTCCACGGAGTGTGGTTCTAATCACATGGCCAGTTTCTGCACCAGCCCCATCAATGATATCTGGTTCACTGTCCTGCAACAAAGCAAAAACACCAAATAAATTACGTCATCAAATAGATGGAAGCATGAGAAGGAAGATATGCTAGAACAGTTCAAGGAGATATAAACATCGAAAAAAAGAAATACAAAACAAATAAGCATATCAAGGCTCACTCTCACCTCAACAGACTCTGTCTTGTCCCTTATTCTCATCTCACGCATATCCCTGTTCAACCAATCAACTGAACTAGAAGAGTTATTTATATTTTTGGCAGATCTCGAACTGCCTACTCCATCTCCCATGTGAGATTCCATGGTGGTTTTTAAGAAGATAACACTTGCTAACATTTGATAACACCAAAATCTTTAGCAATTTGGTGTCCTATCCCATCAAAGCCCCAGTCTTCCTAATAGAATTTTAAAGTCGTTTTCATAAGAAAAAAAGGTGCAAGTAGTATTTACCCACAGGATTTGGATCATTGGAAAATGATAACATAAAACCAAAGTCGCCGGTGTTTTTCCAATATGTTTCCATGTATCTAAACTCTTAAGCAGAATAACAGTAAAAGAGGAACATGCAAACTCACAAAGAAAAAAGTTATTACAAAGTCCAAAGGCTCACAGTATGCATCAACATGTCTGAAGGAAAACTGAATTTCTACTGGCAATAGAAGAATCTACACCATATTATAGCCTTATGAGAATACATTCTAGAAATTAGACATTATACATAGTACCTATATATATTTGCAGAACCACCAAGTACTTCTTTATAGCTTGTACACCAGCATGAATATCCACAAGCACAAGCAGTAGAAGATACAAATAACTGAGTGTTCTAATCTCTCTAGTTGCTTAGGTTCCTTTCCAAAGGAATCAAAATAAAAGATACCTAATTTTTCAAGTTTTACAATAATTTTCTACTGAAGTTATTATGATCATAGAAACACGAAAAGTCAACAACTTGGTATTAAAAATTTCAGCTTTTTACAAAGCACTAAACTTTGGAATAGTGATGATACACTGATGATACTACATAGGACTAAAACTAAAGAAATCCAGATGAATTATGACAGAAACGATCTATATGTTCCACTAAAACTCGACAAAGCTTGTTCCTTTAAACTCAGTATCTTCAATTACCCAAAGAAAAAGACAAACCCAGAAATTGAGTAAAGTAGTTGTTACTCAAGAACCCTAAATTACTCCAAAAAGAGGTCAAAATTGCACATTTACAAGCAATTCGAAGATGATTGATCACCTTAAGCTGAACTGAAGAATCGGAAAGTAAAATCACGCATATGATGATCGTCAATGTCTTCTTCGTCGTCGTCTTTTTCTTCAATTTATACAAAATTGAGAATTTGTTTTGGTGATGAATCCACTAATTGAAAAAGGTGATCACTTTTTTATTTTACTTGTAGAGAGTTGTCTCTGGTTTCTTTTTGTAGATTTCTTAATTCTTACCGTTTTGAATCAAGAGACACGTTCCAGAGATTTTATAAAGAGAATTTATAATAAATGACTATAGATTCGAAAAGATTTAACAAAATAACTATGAGGTGAATAGTCCTTGTCGAGTAGTGACCTTGTCGATTTTCTCTGATTTGACGACCTAGCTTTGTTTGATTTAGGGTTTACCTTTTCTGGTAAAATTCTCTCTGCTTTTGTTCCTGAATTCAAGCTTCTTTTCTGATTTGTGATCTACGATTATCTGCAAGTTGTGTTGTCTGCAATTTGTTGGAACAATTCGATTGATTTTTATCTTCTCATTTTGTCGTATGATTTGGTGTTTTTGGTTTCGGATGTGATTGTCGAAGAGAAGATGAAGCGTAAAAGAGGACATAAGAAAGGGAAGAAGTCTAAAAAGTCCAAATCTATTACTGAAGAAGGGAACTTGAATGAGTCAACCGAAAACGTGGAGAATCAAACCTCGGAGCAGAGTTCTGAAGGTCCTGCTGAGTGTGAGAATAGTGAACATGAATCTAAAATGGAGGTTGATGCACCTTCTTCTACTGAGATTGGTAATTCACCTATTGCTAGTGTAGATCCAGCTGATAATGTAGCGGCGAAGTCAATGGGACGTGTTAAGGTTAAATTGAAGACCTCAAAAGCACCAGAACCAGATGAGACATGGCGTGATGATATTGATAAGAGTAGTTCTCAAGTGGGGTCTGAAAAACCTGCTGAGAAAAAGGAGGAATTGGTTCCTCCGCGTTTGCCTGAGAGAAAGCCAGTGTTTCTGAATGTTTACAGGAAAACTAAGGGTATAAAGATTAAGTCTTCGAAGAGTGCTGATGCTGTCAAGGCCCAGGATGCAAATGCACCTCAAAAGGATACAAAAACGCTGGATGAGAATCCTCAAGCCAGTAAGAAAGAGCCAGAAAGTGCACCAATTTCTTTGCCGAAAGAGGAGAAGAAGACTGACCAAAATTCACGATACAATAAACAACAACTGGAGGATTCTCTTACAGTATGCTCAGATTAATCTACCTAATTTGGTACGAATAGTTCGAGTTGAATATCATGTCTAATTTACCTTCTTTGTGTTGGTCTCATACTGCTATAGGTGATCAAGAAGATTATGAAGATGGATGCTGCTGATCCCTTTAATGCTCCTGTGAACCCAGAAGCTCTTGGAATTCCTGTAAGTGCAGATTTTAGCTTCATCTTTATTAGATAGAGGCACACTGTTTTGGTACATATTAAGCTTGGCTTCTGAAAACTCAACTATTAATATACATCTCACATATCTCCATCACATGCTTATGTTGAACTTCCTAGGTAAAAAACTCTATATATTTTTGCAAAGCCTTATTACTCTGCTTGTGAACAAACGTAGAATCAGTTTGGTCTCAGTTGATAAGACCTAGAAATGCTATAGTACATGAACCAGTCCTATTAGTTAGCTCAGCGTATGGGTCTCATCTTTCTCTTTCCGTATGTGGACAAGGGAAGGATACTCTTTTAAAATGTGTGTAAGTGGACCAGATTGGCTGTATTAGTATACAGAGATTTTTGTCTGTCTCTGTCCTTGAGGGATATAAATTTTCAGTTCATATGGATTAACTTACATTTGTCTACCAAAGACGAACAGTACCCTCTTATCACCTAATTAGGAATATCTTGACTCTGTCATCTTATAATTTTTGACAAACTTAGACTCTTAACAGAGATGGATAATGAATTGTAGTATGACTTTCTTGTCCCGGTCGCTAGACAGTAATATGGGATATTTTCTCCTATACTTTTCCCATCTATTCTTTGCTCCTTGTTTGTAAAGGGGTTTCAGAATTGTTGACTAACACAGTCTACCTGTTTTCTGGTCTTGGTATTAGGACTATTTCGATATTATCAAGACACCTATGGATTTTGGAACAATATGCAATAATTTTGAAAAAAGCAACAAGTATATGAATTCTGAGGACGTTTACAAGGATGTCCAGTACATTTGGAATAACTGTTCTAAGTACAATAAGAAAGGTGATTATATTGTGGATTTGATGAAGCGAGTAAAGAAAAATTTCATGAAGTACTGGACTGCAGCAGGGTTGTACACTGAATCAGCAGGTATTACCAAATTTATCTTCTCCAGCTTTTGACTTTTGGGCTGAACGCTGAAGCATTGTTAAATTGGTAGCTACAGCTCTCTCCATAGATAGTTATGCTTCTGGTTCCCCTTAGGCTTATATAGTTGACACTTGAACATATTCAGAAGCTTCTGCTTTTGAATCACCATGTGTGTCTGACAAGGGTCATTGCTGATTTTAGCTAATGAAATGTCATTGTTGAAATTCATATGGCCTCATTTTAGTAATAAAAGTATAAGAAAAACAAACTTAATTTATTAATAGATCCATTCAAAGCTGTTAGACGCGCGGATGAGTTAATCTCGAATGATTGGGCATGTAAGCCTTTGGTTATGATTACCGCTTTACGTCTAGTTTGCATGGCTAATCAGTTTCGATTCTCTTATGAATTTCAATTTTAAAAGATGTGTAGACCCATATGTAGGAAGTGCATGTGGCCATTAAAAAAACAAAAGAATTCTATGCGAAAGAAAACTATCAGGAGAAAATGCCAATATGTGGAGCGATACACTATTTGCAATGTAACTATTAGCTATGTGTTTTGGTCTGAGTAACTGTGTTTTACAAATTAGCTTATTTGGTTTATTTGGTTATCAGCAGAAAATACAGAGGATGGTGGGAAGTCATCCACCAAAGGCAGTCAATCCAAGCAGAAGAGCCATAAACGCCATGGGTATGTCGCTGAAACGTTTTTTCCTCTGATACATAGGGCCTCATATTCAAATGTGTGTACTTGTGGTCAACCTTAGCCTGAGTTTGGTTTCAACCGTGTCTCATAAATCTTCTAGGTTATAGCCAAGAGGTTATCTTTTACAAAGCTACTGTAACAAGATCTGCTTAACCATAGCCAGTCTTAGTCAATGGTCATTAAGCAGACATTGTGTAGCTGAATTTGGTTTTCTCTTTTGCCAAAATGTATTTCCATTCTTTTTTTACTGATGGTTACTATAGAGCTTGTGCCCTTCTTGTGCCCTCCAAAAGTGGGATTCGGATTAGGTTTCATTAAATAGTCATCATTTTCGTTTGCAGAAGGCACCACAAGAGTGATTGCATGTGTGCGATATGTGTTTTGAAGCGACGTAAAAGAGAACGTGAACGAGATTCTCAAGGACATTCTGGAGCACAAGAGGTTAGTAATGTGTTTTGTTTACAAAACGCACACATATATCTCTTGGTGTGCAAGTGTTTATGTGCAAAGAGAACCCACACACAACTCCGGTTTTGACTTCAGACGGCTGCAATGTGTAAACTTTGCAACAAATTTTAACTTTGATATCTCTGTTGAAGGAATCTTCACCTGCGGGAAGTCCGTCTGTGGATAATTCATCAATAAACATGGGTGAGGAGCAGGACATGGATATTGATGTTGACAACAAAACCGAGATCGTGGAACTAGATAGTCCGGTGTCAAAGAGACAAAGAGTGAATGAAGATAAACAAGAGGTGGAGGAAGAGGAAAATGTTGAAGTGGAGAGTGAAAATAAAACCGAAGCTAATGTAGAGGATAAGACTCATTCGATTGATGATAGAGTAACGGAAGAGACTGGCGATGAGCGTGTGACTAGTGCTGCAGAGAAATTGGTTGTTTTAGCTTCCATTGAAGGTCCAAAATCGACTCATAAAGATGAGGAAGAGAAGGAAAAACAACTCCAAGAGCAAAAGGTATCTACTCTTTCTATTTGCTCTCGTTTGCCTATATACAACAGAGAAACATTGGTTTGAAGCTTTATAACGTTTTGATTAAGCAATAAGCACGATTGAGGTAAATTGGTGTTATTTCGTTATCGCAGAAACGGCAGGAGTTGGAGCGTAAAGAATGGAGAATGAAGATGCAAGAAAAGTTCGAAGTCAGAAACCCGCAGCTTCTAAGTCTCTGTGAAACTCTCTTCCCTAAGGACGACAATCACAATTCCGTGTGGAACGGACCTCATTCGCTGTTTAAACATCGTAATAGTGCTTTACACAAAGCAGTTGAGGCATTGATGAAGTAGTAAGGTAACATAAGTATTTAGCTATCATTCTTCGTTTTGTCTGTTAGATATGTTTGACACATTCAACACCAATCACCATAAGCATCTTTGTAATTGAAAACAGAGCATAAAACTGTTGGTAATGATTACCACAAGGGAATAAAGCTTCAGTGTACTGTATGATAATATTACATCACAAGTGAGTTATGAATTGTACATAAGTACTTATGAACAATTAAAAAGAAGCTAAAACATGCAAAAGCCAATTCATCAGATGATAAATACAGATAGCAAACAAAAACTAATAATAAGTTGTTCAAGAGAATAACGTATTGTCGTAAATGGAACTTACGGTTAATAATAATCACTTTCTCTCCATTTGCCCGACTGGGTTTGTTTATTTGAAGTCGCACCAAGCTTGGAACGTATGAAGGGCACACAAGTGGGACACAACATTGTTTCGTATAATGTTCAATTCTGTCAGATGACCAGGTACGCGGAGCTCCTCTGATAGTAACAGATTTCAAGTATCCATCTTCTCCAATGATGTGAGCTGCTTGGTAGCGACGACGACGACGACTGTTGTCATTGGTAGGTAACTCTAGATCGAAAACCACAGCAACTTTCTTCTCTTGGTCAATGAAAAAACTCCCAGACAAACACAGACCGTAAAAACTGTCCACCAGTTTTAAAAACTTGATCCACGACACCGCATTTAGATCATCAATCTTATTCGTAACAAAGATCTCGATTGCCTTAGGTGGGTTCCAATAGCGTTGATATAAGACCGCGAGCTGTTCTTCTTTAACACAAGATAGAGACACAAAATCTCCTCCATCACTGAAAGTGTCGCGAAACGGCAGAGGCAGAGGCCGAAAGCTCTCTGTTGTAAAATCAAAACATAGTAAAAGATCTTCAAGTATTTTGGTTACTCCTTTCTTCCTTGCAAGAAAATAAGTGTTTCCCTTCAAAGACGCGCCGTTGATATGAGAAGATATATGGCAGTCGTCCGTAGGGACATCAAGAACCTTCCATGAATTAGAGCTAAAATCGTAGATTTCGTATACTATAACATACTCTCTTCCGCTTAGAGGAAAATCGAAATTCCTCAAGATTTTGTGGGTACGCTTCTTCTTGTCATATCCGAGAGCATACGCGTCTTGCCCGCGTGATTTATCTCTCGGTTGGATCCACTTTGTTTCCCCTAAATAAGGATTCCATACCAAAAGCCTCGAGTTGTCCTCAAGGACGCATAGCAATAACCCTTCACACTGAAAGACCGTAGCTACATCGATTTGATCAAATATACTTACTTGCTTTATAGATGATGGATTAACCAAGCTTTTATGGATTCCTTGGAGATCCAAGTTCATAAAACAAATTTTATGATCCATCATCAAGAATCCCATAAACTGCCTCTTTGCTTTTTTACCAAGAATCCGATTTTTAGATAAAGCGTTCCACTTTTTGCAAGTAGATCGCACTGATCTCGAACAACTCAATGGAACCCTAGACAATATCTCCTCCGCTACCAAATCCTCAGGAAGATCGGAAATCGTCCTCATTATTCCGGCCAGATCCAAAACGAAGAAGACGACTACTTACTTATTCCCTTTTCTTCCACGTGCTCATTTTTTTTGTTTTGGCCCAATTGAGGCCCATTTATTCTCACCAATTGTAATTTTTTTTTAATTCTCAACCGTTGTTACTATTTATTTATTTGTTTAATTAAGAGCTTATCCAGAATTTTTTTTTAATTTGAGCTTTTAACTCCTTTTTCAAAAAAACATGTTAGCCCACTTATATGTACAATCTCATTTTCAAGACATTAACCAACTTTTTTTGGAATAAATAAATCAACTCTCACCTTTTTTTATTTTTTTCAGCAAAGCAACTCTCACCGTTTTATATGACTATATGTTTTGTTTCTTTCTTTTTTTTTTTTTTTTTTTAAATCTTTTGATTTCTGATTTTTATATTATTTTTTCGATTAATGTAAATTAAAAAAAAAAATTCAACAAAAAATTTTATAATAAATGGTGTAACGACATCTTCATCTCTAGATCGGTTTATACACCGACGAATGGCATATATGTGTATGATGAGAATGAAGAAACTCAAGGAATTTAACTGATCTCTCTCTATAAAGACTAGTAGGCCTTCTTGCTCAGTTTCTGTGCAGGATTTTCGATTCCCATTTTCCCTCTATCTCTCTCTCTCTCTCTCTTTTTCTCAATCACTTCTGAAAACTGAAACTCTTTTCACAAATTCGTTAGAAAGAGACGAGAGATTCGTCGAAGATTGGGTCCGATTAGGGTTTTGTATTTCGATTCTTAGGTTTATTCGTCAACAATGGAGACCGCGATGGTTAGTTCGGCGAGTAGTGTACTCGTAATGCTCAACGAAACTCATCCTTCATTGAAACTTCAAGCGCTCTCCCTTCTCAATAGATTGGTTCATCAATTTTGGCCTGGGATCTCCGATAATCTCCCAATCTTGTATTTTCTCTTCTTCTTTGAGGCTTTCTTGTTACTCCTTATGAGAATCTTGTTGGATTTTGGAAACTTTGAGTGCGTCGTTCTTTGATTTAGGGTATAAAGTTTCGAAAGCTTAGGTTAGGAATTACTATCTTTAGAGAGTTTCTTGTGTGAGTGACCATTGTTACATGAAGCTAAGGAGAATGTTGTTTTATGTCACACATAGTTCTTCCTGTACATGGCAACTATTAGGGATGTCAATTGGGCTAGGTGACCATGGGCTAGACCGGTCAGTTTTGGTTAAGTCCAAAATGAAAGCAATCCATTTGGACTAGAAACCAATTATGCTCACTAATAAACGGACAAAATCATTTGGACATGGGATGTCCAATACTCCTTAAAAATTAGGGTTATGACTTATGAATTTAGAGAAAAAATTAGATTTATATCTATATATTAATGATTAATTTTTTTTTATTAAATATAATTGATTAATAATTATATAATGACATATACTATTTTGTTAAATAATAATATATTTTAGGAAAAACGCAGTTTTATAATATTGGCGGGAAAATGCTATTTCGACAGAAAATCGCTATTTTGTGGAAAATATTTTCTGGTGATAAAACGTAAATTTGCGATTTTGGCGGGAAACACGGTTTTACGGTTTTGGCGAAAAAACGCAGGTTTGTCAGAAAAACGCTATTTTGTGAAAAATAATTCCTTATTTGTGAAATCGACCCTTTTGAATGTATATCATAAAATGTAAAAAATCATCTCTCTTTCTCATCTATATGCTAACTTCAATTGTTTATTTGTGAAAGATAAAGATATGTATCTTCTTCTTCACTGTTTTATCTTCACCTTTGGTACAGCCGCAGAAATCAATTAAAAACGAAAATATATTTCCTAACCGGAACAGTGTATGTAACTGAACCGCATAACTGAACCGTACAATGAACAGTACATCGTTACGCTGGCAGGGGTAAAATGGTCAGATTTTGGCTAAATTGTCAAAACTTGAGAACCAATTCTCACTTTGCCAAACCATGAAATTAAAAGATGGTCTTATGCCGTGACCTACAATTTACCCTTATAAGAAAAGTTGGCCGAAAAAGAAAAAAAAAAGTTGTGTTTTTTTGTTTCCAACAAAGTCATAAATAGATGACAAAAAAAAAAAAAAAACAAAGTCAGAAATAAAGGCAATTATGCTAGTTTATATATTCTTTTTCTTCCGTTGAGGAAAATAAAAATAAAATATATATTCTTTTTCTTCCGTTGAGGAAAAAAAAAAAGAAATATATTCTTTTTCTTCCGTTGAGGAAAAAAAAAAAAAAGAAATATATTCTTTTTCTTCCCTAATGTTGAGAAAAAGATGAGAAGCAAAAAAACCCTAATGGTGGAAAGAAAGCTGCCATCAGAGCTGGAAGAAGAAATACTCATTCGGGTTCCACCTTCATCTCTCGGTCGCTTCAGAGCCGTTTGCAAAGAATGGAACGTTCTTTTCAGCGATAAGAGATTCGCCAACAACCAGTTGGCTTGTGCTCGACCAGAATTCATGTTACAAACCGATTCCAATGTTTTCTCCATAAGCGTCAATCTTAATGACGATCCAACTATACAAGTGCGTAAGTTAACCATTGATTTTCCCGGTTTTCACTATTGTAACTGCGATGGGTACTTCTTTTTATATGACGTTCTTCATAATAGAGCCGCGGTTTCGAACCCGTGGTTGAGACAGACTAAACGTATTGGTTGTGCCTTGGATGAACCATTCACTTTATGTGGCATGGGTTACGATAGTAGTAGACCTGAAAAGAGTTACAAGATTTTTGGGTTTACGTATTGTTGTTTGAATGCGCTTCAATACAAAAGATTTGTCATCTTCGATTTTGAAACCAACGCGTGGAAGTTTATTGACCATGCCAACAACCTAGCAAATTCCACTAGAGAACGATGGTGGCGTTATAATAATGTGTCATTGAATGGAAATTTGTTTTCGACAGCTTATGATTGCGAAACTGGTCAGTATTTCATCAGAATCGTCGATTTTTCGAAAGAGATAGTGAAGCCCTTTTGTATTCTACCGTGTGAGAAGAAAGATTCAAACCATACTCATGCCCTTGCGGTTTACAAGGGGGATCGATTTTCGTTGTTAGAACAATGCTATAAAACGAGAAAGATTGAGATTTTGGTTACAAAGAAGAAAATTAGTAATGGGGATGATGGAGACAATGTGGTGTGGATTAAGTTCATGACTGTCTCAATACCTAACTTCCCCAGGTTTAATCACACGTTTTCGAGATACATGGTCGATAATAATATCTATGGAAAGACATTCGTCATGTGTTGCCCCGATGACCCCGATGACAAAACTAGACGGGCTTGGGTCTATGTTGTGAGGAGAGATCTTTGCAAGAAGATTAATATAGATCATTTGGTTGATGGGTCCTGCAGGTGCTGTGTTTATGTTCCTAGTTTGATGCCCATTACTTAATATGAAGAGAACAAGAAGAATTTACAAGTTTAATCTTATTACGTTGTGGCTTTCTTATTCTTTTGTTTTTCTATCTCTTAAGTCCAAATTCATTATCAAACAAAACCAACTTCCTGTTTGTTGTCGTTATATTTGAGGAGGGAGATATGTGAATGAAAAACCTGAATCACTTTTTTGGAGTCTGTTCTCATGACACAAAGTGTACCTGCTTTCGGGAAAAGCCGGTCCACAGTTTCTGGAGGGATCCTAGAGAGTTTTGTAGGATACAAAGTGTAAATCCGTTTATGGAACTCTAACACTATATGAGCTGATCAAAAATCACAGATTCATATGAAGAATGAAAGAGGAGTACTAAAAACACAATCAATTTTCATCTTAACCGCATGAAGAACACCTTATAAGGTTTTTAATCTTATAGGTGGCTCAAGGCTCAAGCTAATTTGAAATTGTTCGCTATTCTTTAAACACTCAACGTCTCAAAATTTGGTTGTGTTTTGTCAATATGTTTAATCCTAAATTTTGATTTTATTCAAAACAACGCCGTTGGTTGTGTACAAAACCAAACCAACCAAAACTATATCATTTTACTTTGCCACACTCTATATCACGCGTTTAACTCAGTACTGTTTAACTCAGTACTGTTAGACGGTTGACTAACACTATATAAGTCAAAGTAGAAAACGCCTAACGGACTTAATTACGGTTCAAGTAGTTAATTTAAATTTTGTGTTGGTTCAGGTTTTAAAATGCATGGTATCATTTTTTGAGTATAAAAATGTATTTTGAAAAATGTTTGGGTTGAGTCATTTTTAGGTCTCAATTCATCATTATTCAGATCAAACTGAACCAATTTTATGTTCATTTCAGCTCCTCTTATCAATTTGGGGAGTACACTTTATAAGATACCCTTAACTAACCTTCTCATTTGTAAAAAATTACTTAAGAATGCCATTAGAGATAAAAATTTAAAGAGTAAATTAATTCAGCTCATTAAGGATAAACAAGTCAAATACTAATTTATGCAATTTAATTATTAAAAACGAAAATATATTATTAATTTAAAAAAAAGAATGACCAATCAAAATGAACATATAAGATTTGATATCTAACTTACCATATTAATTTGTTATTAATCATTATAGTTCACCTCTCATCTTTATATGATTCTATTTTTATGAAACAAATAAATCATCATATCATCCATATAAACAAAAAAAAGTAATTTTTTTCTCCATATGCCAAGATTTGAATTTTTAAAAACGAAATTAAATTGTAAAATCTATGAAGAAAAAAATTTAACGGGTCAAAAATTCACATTTGACTAATATATTTCTTTTAACCAAAAATAAGTTCAACAAAAATTTAGGCTGAGTAACGGGTCAGAATTTGAATATTTATATTCAATTTCATACATTTATTTTTTGAAATGTATTATTTTATATACTATAATAAGATTTTTAAACATTTTAATTTGCAACATATAAAATTAGTTTTACTTGATATTTTTCAAGAATATCATCAATATTTAAAGAATATCATCAATAAATATTCTAATTTGATTTTTGTACACAAATATTTATAATAGGCAGTAGGTTAAATATAATATATTATATTAACAAATGAGTTATGATCCTTATAATTGTTTGAATATTTCTATTTAATTTCATATAATTCTTTTTTGAAATTCATTATTTTATATACTAAAATAAATATTTTTAAAGATTTTAATTGGAACATTTAAAAATAGTTTAATTTAATATTTTAATGAATATCATAATTCATAAATATTTAATAGATTAAAAAGATAAAAAAAAATTATAAATACTATAATTTTCTAAAAAGATATATTTAAAATAGTTATAGTAGGCGGAGGGTTACATGTAATATATTATATGATATAAAATTATGATCCTTATAATAGAAGGCATGTTAAGATTATATGATCAGATAGATTAAATAAGGTTGACACCTCAAAATATTTGAAAATTTGATTGTGCAAGCAATTTTGGAAATAACGAATAATAGATTGTGCACGCAATATTTTCATTAGGATTCTAAAATAAAAATATAGACTCCACGCACGGGTTGAATTTGGTATATTATATACTAAATATATGTTCATAACATATTCGATTACGCGAATAATTGATAAATTCCGTAGTTACCTCAAACAAATCTCTATTTCAACAACCAAAGAATTAGAAATTGAAAAAAGAATTTTCTAAATTAATTCAAAATAATAGCTAACTATCTTAATTAATTAAAAATAATCTACGTTTTAGAAGCGATTCATTTATAATATTTTGATTTTTGATCTAACTGAATTATATGCAATCTCATTTTGTGGTTGTTAATATAAATTTACTCATTTTTCAGACTATATTAATTTATTAAAATAATTTTATTTTCTGTTTTCATATCTTTAAAAAAAATCTATAATTGAGTATAATTAAAAAAAAAGATATTCATTCTAATTATATAGGGACTGACAAAAATTTAATTATATTTTTTCAATTACTATTATAATATATCACAACTTTATTCTAAAATATATAATATATAAATTTTGTAATAAATAAAATTTAACCCGTACTGTTGTACGGGTGATGATCTAGTTTTATGTTCATTTCAGCTCCTCTTATCAATTTTACATTGTTGTAGTTTGTTTTGTTATTCTGCCTATATAAATGTCCCTTTTTGCTATAATATAGGGAATCTAAGAAAACGAGATAAAATGCAACTGTATGAAATAATGTATATCATGGGAGAAAATAATTTATATCCACTAACAATTATCTATGCACAAAGAGCAATATAGCAAAATAATATATTCACAAAGAGCAATATTATGTACGCAAACGGAGAAGGTGAATAGTAAACGGAAAGAGGTTCTGTTTCCCAGCATATATGATTGGGCCTGCTCAAAATTGGAACAATGAGATCTAATCACATTTTTTTTCCTAATTAACCAGTTATATTAAAAAGAAATCCAAAATGAGCTTATAATTTGAGATATTAGTTACAGAGAAATAGAAAATTACCAGAATCGTAACAAAGGCTCGGATCTTCCGGTCGACGGAGGATCCGAGCCTTTGTTATCGAGTTTCCTAAATTTAAATATTAATATCTATACTAGTATTTTTGCAACACTTTGGTGACGGGTGGGTAAAAATGCTTCCGGGTATATCGGATACCCGACCCGTTTTTAAAATTCTTTCACAAAAAAATTTGTTGGGTCGGGTTATATTTAACCCAACTCATACACCGGATATTCCATATTTAATAATATAGATATTTAGAAGATTTGATTAAGATTTATAATTATGATTCTCCTATCATCTTTGTTTGATTTATTTTTAACTGTTTTGAATCATCATATAATACATAAAGTAAAAAAAAAATCAATTTTTTTTCTGCATATACTGTGATTCAAAATTTTAAAAACGGACATATATTATCCAATTGACGAAAATGTGTGTTCAACGTTCTACATCGATTAAAATAATTAGACAATGATTCAGAATCATATCATAAATAAGAACATTAATAAAATAAATGAGTTTTTTGACCGGACGGGTTTGGCGGGACGGGTTTTTGAATCAACAATAATAAAAAGATTAAAATATCATTAATCCGCCGCTTCAATACGGATTAAATCCTTATTTTTTTTAATACCACAAATATTAGACATATTAAATCAGTCTCATTTAGAAAAAATTGTATAAAACCAAAAATTGTTCGGTGGTATAATGTTACTTAATAACAATATTTATAAAATTTTAAAATATCATTAACATGCCGCTTTAATACATATTAAATCTTTGGTTTATTAAAATATAAGTTTCTTATAGAATGATATGATTTGTAAACTTTTATATATAATAAATAATCATTAAATTTTAAAATAAAAACAAATCACGGGACGGGTTACATTTCGGAAAGGATTTATATGGCGGACGAATTTGAATCAATATTTATATACCGCTTGAATACGGGTTAAATCCTCAGTTTATTAATAATTGTCTCGTGGACTCATGGTATACCGTTACTTAATAACAATTGTAAACTATAATATAAATAAATATGTTATAAGGATATACAATTTACAAAATATTTTTATACTAACTTTAAAATTAAATCATCTCGCGGTGTACCGCAGGTTAAAATCTAGTTTATTAATAATTTTCTAGAATCATTATCGAGTTTGTCATCTCGATCGTTGATTCCGGTCATATCTCGGTTCTCCATCTGCTAATATAACTTTTACAAGAAAAAGAAAAGAATAGAAAAACCCTACAAAAAAAAAGCCCTAATGGTGGCGAGAAAGCTTCCATTAGATCTGGAAGAAGGGATACTCGTTCGAGTTCCACCTCGATCACTCCTTCGCTTCAGATCCGTTAGCAAAGAATGGAACACTCTTTTGACAGACAAGAGATTCGCTAACATAAACCTGGCTTTTGCTCGACCAGAGTTCATGTTAACGACCGATAAGAGATTCGCTAACAAAAACTTGGCTTTTGCTCGAGCAAAGTTCTTTCATAACGACTATAAGAATTATTCGATAAGCGTCAATCTCAACGACGATCCAACTATAAAAGTGCGTGATTCATGCTTTGATTTTAGCCGTTATGATTATGGAAACTCTGATGGGTATTTCTTCTTATATGACTCCAGCTGGTACCGAGCTGATAACATGGAATCTCATAAAGGAGGCGTGCTTTGGAACCCGTTGTTTAGAAAGATTAGATGGATTCCAGGCGCGGCTCGATCATCCTTCACTTTATGTGGCGTGGGTTACAATGGTAGTATACCCGACAAGATTGTTGGGACTATTTATAGTCTCGATCTCCGTCACCAGACAGTTGTCATGTTCGAATTTGAAACCAATGCGTGGAAGCTTATTGATCCTGACAGGTACGTAGCAGAGTTCACTAGAGAACAATCGTTACGTCATAATAGTGTGTCCTTGAATGGAAATTTTTATTGGACAGCTTATAATCTAGAAACTGGTGAGTATTTCATCCGAATCCTCGATGTTTTGAAAGAGATAATCAAGCCCTTTTGTATCCTACCGTGTATGGGGAAAAGTTCTTCTCATACTCGTGTCCTCGCGATTTACAAGGGAGATCGGTTTTCAGTGTTAGAACAATGCAAAACAACATGCAAGATTGAGATTTGGGTGACAAAGAAGAAAATTAGTAATGGAGATGATGTGGTGTGGATTAGGTTCATGAATGTCTCAATACATAACTTCCCTAGGTTTTATCACAAGTTTTCGAAGTACATGGTCGATAATAATATATATGGAAAGACCCTCGTCATGTGTTGTAGCTACAGGAGAAGTGGTCAAGCTTACGTCTATATTGTGAGGGGAGATATGTGCAAAAGGATTAAAATTGATGAAGTGCCTTCTCAGTTCAGATGCTCTATTCATGTCCCAAGTCTGATCCCCATTTGTTGAGTGACGATCATCTTTCGATGAAGTGAACAAGAAGAGTGCTCTTTTTGGGTTTTTGTTTTTTAACTAGCAATATTTATGTCTCAATTCATTATCATACAGATAAAACAAATCCAACTTCATGAGTGTTCTTGTTATATTTTGGTAGTTTGTTTTGTTATGATTTGCACTTTTTTGAGTCAGTTTCCTAAAGGTTTAAGATAGATTCACAATTCGTTGACCTTATATTGAGTAATAGAGGTTTGGTTAAAATCTAGTTGGTAAACAAAGCTGAACCAGAAAATTATTTTAAGTTTCACAAATTTTCGAAAAATTGTGTTATGGCTGGAGTCTTGCAAATGTAAGTATGTTCCTCTATATCATTTATCTAGCAAAGTAGTGTTGTATTGTAAGCATCCGGCCACTTTGACACGACAAAGGATGCGAAAGCACCTTAATACAAAGTCATTGCTTCCTTTTTCCAGTGATTTCTGTTTACAGAGAGAGCTCTACTGGTTTTTCCCAAAGACTGAGATCTAGAGAGCTTAGAGAAAAGAAAAGAACACCCGATAGGTCGTACAGAAAACACGGAAGAGACTTACGAGTGCAACGCCATGAAGTGGTTCTGCTTACGGGCATGTTCTGGGACAAGTCGGTCCACAGTTTCGGGAGGGATACCAGAGAGTTCTGTAGGACACAAGCTTATCAATAACACATACTAATTTTCTTCCTTATAAAGAATTTCAACACGAAAAAAAAAAGAAGAAGCAAATAACGGAACCTTACCTTGCGGTTTAAAATTGAAAAGTGGAGGAAGTGGCCGGCCGTTTGGAAGATGAGCGTTTAGGTCTCTTAGCTCATCAAAGAACGGATGGATACAAGCTTCCACCTATCAGAAAACCATAAGACATACTTATAATGGGTTAGCTTCTGATGCTGATTCCAAACAAAATATGTAAGAAAGTCAGAGAAAACTACGAATAGCGTACCGCTGTGCATCTCAAATTAGGAGAATACTGGAAGAACCTACAAAGAAGATCTACTGCTTCAGGTGGCAAACGTTTTTGGAAAACCTGAAAATAACAAACACATGATTCCTAGTAAAACGAAGGAAATGATCACTTAAGCGAAATTTTAGCACAGAGCAAAAAAAAAAAGTTTATACGAATAATCTAGCGCGAGTAACAGAGTTCTGGAATGTCAGCTGTATAAAATGCTGAATAAAACTTCTTCTATATAGAAACTTGAACCAGCAAAAAAGCCAAGATCATGAAGCCTAATTGTTTTCAATCCCCTTGAGTGTGTGCACAAGTAATCCGTTTTGGCAAAGTTTCAATTTATTTGTTTGCATAAGAATCTTATATACAAAGCGGTCACATCGCTCTGTAAGCCAGAGGAATGAAATATGAAGTTAATTGATAACATAGACTCCAATCACCCTCACTAAACGGAGACAAGATCGGACAGATAATTACACCTAGAATCAACTTGATAAAGAGAACCCTATCAGGTGATAATTGATACTACTAGTGGCATACCTTGTGCCAAGGATGAGGTTTTATCTGGGGAAATTTAAATTCTGTGTAGTTTGGATTCATGCATTTGATCTCCTCCCTTGTTGGTGTACCCAAAACCTGCATGACAATTAAAGGCCCATGAAGAAAGAATATAATAGGTGCTATTAAAACAATGGTTGTACATTTTTATGAAAAAATAATAATAAGCAGTGAGCAACTATTAGTCAGTGACTCAGTGCCAGCTCTAACAGATGTCATTTTCTTTGCAGATAAAACTACCCCTAAAAGAATTGGTAGAATAATACTACCTTAATGATTTCAACAAGTTGGTCGACTCCACTTTCGCCAGGAAACAGAGGCTATATAACAAGTCCACGAGAGCACAAATGACTAAGAGAATGAAGTAGCAGAATAACAAGCACAATAGCATATAGCTAATGCAAATATAGTGCGCCAACCTGTCCAAGCAGCAGTTCAGCCATCACACAACCTGTGGACCATATGTCTATTGCAGTTGTGTACTCAGTGGCTCCAAAAATGAGCTCTGGGGCACGGTAGTATCTTGAACAAATGTAAGAAATATTGGGTTCTCCTTTCACCTGTGGAGCATGACAGTCATAATCCAAGCATGGACTAGAAAAACTAAACCACTAAGAGCTATAACTGATAAACTTTACCAACACTTTTGCACTCCCAAAATCACAAATTTTTAGCTGATGTGTGTGTGGATTCACCTGCACATCACAATAGGTGTAAAGAAAAATATAAGTTTGTTTCATTAAAACAAGGCCACATTTGTTTAGGACAAATTCTAATCAATTGCAGGTACGGTAAAAACCAAAACTATTTCCCAAAAGCTAGATTTTAACATCCTACTTGAACTAATATCATCTCCAGTGAAATTAACTACAGAAGCCCAGTACAACTCTGAGGATTGAAAATAAATATTAGTGAGATGCATACATAATCCCGATGCTTAAACCCTCCAGGCATGTAATAACGAAATATCATCACGTCAGTCTCCAACATAACTTACTATATAATGATCAAATTTGTAGAAGTAAAGAACAGTGTCTGATATTTATTGACACAAGTCACAAGTTCCTTTAAAATCCTTATGTGTGGTGACAAAGACCTTGCTATAAAAAAGAAATCAAACAAAAGTAGCTTACAGGAAAGTGAAATCTAGCTTCTTTTCAGTGAGAAAAAATTGGAACTTACTAGCAGGTTTTGGGGCTTAATATCCCGGTGACAAAGACCACAACAATTATGAAGGTAAGCAAGCCCCCTGCAAATCTGTACCCATTAACATAAAATCCTTAAAAATCATTGGAGAATGTCCAAAAAATTATCAGGCCTGACTCACACTTAAGTGTTCAACAAAAGTTTGAGCACTACTTCCTTTTCATAGAGACAATCAATAATGTTCAGTAGTTCCAACTTCTAACAAAAAAGACAATAGTAACAGAAACAATAGAAACTTTGCCTTCCAGTTTACAATCTATCTATCAAGACAATAGTAATTCTCCAACCCATCAATTCCGGAATGAGCCACAAGACGTAGTTGACACATATCATTAAAGAAACTGAATATATCTTAAGTTTTGAGTAAGTACTTATGACGCTTCCATAAAGAGAAACAAAAAAAAAAAATCAAAAACAGGAAATAATCACCTGATAAGCGTAGAGTTTGACATATATCAATGGCATCAGCTGGTTCATTCTACTGTAGCTTCTGGCAGTACGATTGACAGTCTCGGGAACAAATTCAAGGACAAGATTTAGATAAACCTCTTCATTTTCTGTTCTTGAATAGAAGCTATGCTTTAAACAAACAACATTCGGATGGTCTAGCATCTGCATAATTTGTAATTCCCTGTTCTTGTAGCGCTTGTCTTGTAGAACCTTTTTGATGGCAACAACCTCCCCAGTTTCTCTGCATTTAGCCTATCACAAGGAAACATAAAATGTTTGGGAATCTAAACCAATAGCAAGACAACGAGAAAGATAAACTAACTTACTTGGAAAACCATTCCAAAGGAACCTGTTCCGACTACGTGTTCTGCTATGTAACTGACTGTCTGTCAATCAAAATCAAACGGTTGTATAAGAATTAGTACGTCTGACCAACATTTTAGAAACAGTTTTTCTATGACCATCTAACCTGTCTTGATTGACCATTTCGTCCACGGAGGGTAGTTCTGATCACATGACCAGGTTCAGCACCAACCCCATCGATAATATCTGGTTCGCTGTCCTGCAACATAGCAAAAACATCAAATACAAGTAAACTAAATCATCAAATAAGCTAGAACAGTTCAAGATGAAATAAAAACCTAAGAAAGAGATGCAAAACTTACTCTGTCCTCATCAGCCTCTGTCTTGTCCTTTATCTTCATCTCAAGCATATCTCTTCTCAACCAATCAACAGAACTAGAAGTGTTCTTTATATTTTTGGCAGATCTCGAACTGCCTACTCCGTTTCCCAGATGAGATTCCATGGTGGTTGTTCTGAAGATAACAAGTACTAGTAATCGATAACACCATAATCCTTAGCAATTAGGTGTCCCATCCCATCAAAGCACCAGTCTTACTAGTGGAATATTAACGTCGTTTTCATAAACCAAAAAAGGTATAAGTAATTTCCAGAGTATTTACCCACAGAATTTAGATCGTTGGAAAATGATAACATAAAACCAAAGTCACTGGTTTTTCCAAATATTTGCCATGAAAGAAAAGTATTCAAAACAAAATATCTGAACACTTAAGCATAAGAACGAGTGAGGAGAAACATGCAAACTCACACGATCTATCGCCTTCTCAAAATATATTCTACAAATTAGATATGGCTCATAGTACCTATATATTCATAGAACCACCGAGCACATTCTTATAGCTTGTACACCAGCATAAACACCCACAGGTAGTACAAGATAGCAATAACTGAGTGTTCTGATCTCTACTTGCTTCTCCTTTGATCAATCACTAAAAACATTTCAGCCAACAAAAAGAAGAGACATATTAGCAGAAGATATGAACCATTTATACATGTGAGAGCAATGAAATTAACAAGAAAAATAAGTGAAAGAAAAACAAAGGAATCAAATCAACAAAACACCTAATAATTTTCCATACTTACAATAATTTCTTCTGAAATTAATTATGATCACAAAGAAAAACGAAAAGTCAACAATTTCAGACTTAAGCACCATTGAAACATTGAAAGAGAGTAGGTGATAACACTGATACTACTACACAAGACTAGAATTAAAAACCCAGAAGAATTATAACAGATCAGATCTAAATTCGACCAAAAAACGACAAGGCTTGTCTTTTACTCAGTTTCTAGAGTCACCAAAAAAAACCCAGAAAATTTAGTAAAGCAGTTGTTACAACAAGAACCCTAAATTCCTCCAGAATTATACCAAAATTGCGCAATCAAAAGCAATTCGAAGCAGCATAGTGGAGATGATCTTATCTATATACCTTGAACGGAAAATTAAACATCACATATTCGATGATCGTCAATGTCTTCTTCTTCGTCGTCTTTTTCAATAATCAAAGCCAAAATTGAGATCAACTTTTTGTCCTGATGATTGATCACTAATGGAGAAAAACTGATCACTAGATTCTTACTTGTAAGAGATTTTTTTCTGTCGTTTCTTTTGTAGATTTCTTACCGTTTTGAATCAGGAAAGGTTTTTAGAGATTTTATAAAAGGAATTAAAATTATAAATTTTTTATTTTATTATTTGTC